GTTCTTATACCTCAAAATTCCTTTACAAAAATGTATTTTAGCCAGTCACTAACATTGATCAATTTCCCAACTACAATGTCATGTAACTTAGGATTATTTTTATATGAGTTAATGATCTCCTAATACCATATTGGTAAGTTGTTAAAGCTTTTAATCTTCCTTGTTCTCCTTGAATTAGCTTTTCCCTTCATATTAAACTTTCTTCATTATCTAATCTCCTGGACAATTCATCTTCAAAAATATTTTCTCTTCCTTTTCTATGTTGTATAACATACCTCGACCCTAACAATTTGGTTAGACATTTCCTTTGCAGTGGAGTATGGATCTTTTGTTTTAAAAGATATTTCATACTTTCATGATCAATTTTAATAATAAACTGATAATGCTTGAAATAGTGTTCAAAATAGCTATCAATCCAGTAGCACATGCATCAATTTCTAACACAAAAACATTGTTAAAATCTGTTAATGTTAAGATTGTAGCCTCACACAAAGCCTTTTTAATCTTATCAAAAGTTGATTGAGCCTTCTCATTCCAAGTAAAGTTATTTTTCTTTAACTATTCTATTAGTGGTTTGTTGATGAAAACCTCTGATGAACTTATTGTGATAACATGTTAAACCTAAGAAGCCTCTCAATTCCTTTACAAAATGTGGAATAGACAAGTTCTTACTAACTTCAATTTTTTTAGGATTTGTTCCCACTTTTTCTAAAAAGATAATATACCCTAGATACTCAATTTTTTCTTCATAAGAAAAGCACTTAGATTGTTTTACAAATAACTTATCATTCTTAAATGTTTCTAAAATAGTTCTGAAATTATTGATATGTAATTCTAAGGTGGAACTATATATCAATATGCCATCAAAGAACATCAATACAAATCTTCTCAAATAAGGCTTTATATACTATTTATTAAGGCTTGAAAGGTAGTTGGTGCATTAGCTAAGCCAAAAAAGCATTATCTTGAATTCATAATGTTTATGATCAATTCTGATTGTAGTTTTATCCACATCTTCGCACATTTTTACTTAATGATACTTTGATCTTAAATCTAACTTTTAAAGAACTTAGATTCATATAGTTCATCCATCAAATCAGTTTATATATTAAAGGAATTGAAAACTTATTTTTGACAATTAGATTATTCAATTGTATGTAATCCACACATAATCTTCATGTATTATCTTGCTTTTAACCAAGAAAATAGCAGATACAAATGGACTACAACTATGGTGAATGATCCTATTTTGTAACATTTTCTTCATCAGATTCTCTATCTCTTCCTTTTAAATGAACTCACTCTTGTAAGGTTTAATGTTTGACTAGCTTTGCCCCTAAACTAAGTAGAATCTTGTGATCCAACTTCCTAGTTGGTGGTAAATGTTTGATTATGCAAACACAAATTGATATTCCTCTAACAATGCCTTAACCTTTGAATTCTTCATATCCTTTTAACACATCCATGGAAAACAATTGCCCTAGAAATTCAAAAATAGCTTTCTTCAAACTTTTGTGTACTTTGATTGTGGTAATCATCTAATATTTAGCTTCTTTAACCATTCATTTTTATTCAATCATTATACCACCTTTGTTGAATGATAGTTTCATTTTAATGAAAAAGTATTTGGAAATGTAATTGTGGTTGCTTTTCAAAGTGTTTTTCACTTGGAAATACATCAAAATAATATTTTTTTATTTTAAAAAAATTATTTTTTATATCAGCACATCAAATGATTTAAAAACATAAAAATATTAATTTGAAATAAAAAATAAAAAACAATCAAAAACACTTTTAAAATACAAAAATAAACGGGATCAAATAATCAAACAAGATAAGAGAATGAATTTTCAACCAATGTACCCTCCAAACCATGTCACACCTTCCCAATTTCAAAAACCTCAAATTAGCTTGGAATTCATACTTGGATAAACTACATGGATAAACTGCATGAACTTAGACAAAAAGCATTATATCTCATTATACCTCTTTAAAAACAATATAGTAGTCTTTTACACAATTGCCTTGATTTCTTTAATGACTAATTCACTAATAAAGCTATGCACATTGTCACTATCAAGAATAAGACATTTTTCAATTCTATTTTCCTTAACAATAATTCCATGATTGCCTCCTTTTTCCACTTCCAAGAACTCATCACCATCTTCTTTTATACCTTTAATCATATGTATACCTTTTTGGTTATACTAATGGCTAGGAATGTACTTTTCTCATTTCAAGCATTTCTCTAATCTCTTTTGTTGTTCATGTAATGTTTCAGAAAGTTCCCTCCTCATTTGAAGCATTACCCTAATCAATTTTGTTCTTGTAATGTTTTTGAAGGGTGTCTTGATCCTTACATTACTCCATTCTTGGCTTGATTAAAAGACTAATAACCTGGCAATTTTCCCATGCAATTTAAAGTAGTTACATTGATGGCCAAGAATGTACTTCTCTCCTCATTTTTTAAGCATTACCCCAATCTTCTTTGTTATTCATGTAATGTTTCAAAAAGATATCTTAATCCTTGCATTACTCCATTTTTGGCTTGATTGAAAGGCTTAAAAGACTGATTACCTAGCAATTTTCCCATGCCATTTGGAGTAGTTATATTGATGACCAGGAATGTTTTTCTCTCCTTATTTAAAGCATTACCCAATCTCCTTTGTGGTTCATGTAATGTTTTAGTACCTAGATCCTTGCATTACTCCATTCTTAGCTTGATTGAAAGGCTTGAAAAACTAATAACCTAGAAATTTTCCCATGCTAATTAGAGTAGTCATTCTTATAACAAATTTGTTTCTTTTAGCTAACACAAGATTAGACTCTTCTTGCCATTTGCTTCATCAAAAGCCTTTATTAATACAGTTGGCTTAAAAATCTTGAGCATGGGTTTAATATCTTAAAAAAACTGGAAATTTCGCATGACTCTAGCAATGTGTGATTCAAAGCAGTTATTAAAGATTCGATTTCTTCACATACTTTTTCATTTCTTCATCCTACACCAGCTTATTAAATTCCTCTATTATATCTTTTCTATTACCAAGCCTTATACAAATAACCTTTGTGAGTTCCTTTCAGTTAACCAAGTCATTACTTTTCAATATGAATCCTTCATGCTAGATTTCAGCCTTCCCTTCCAAGTAAAGAGATGTTATTTTCACCCATTGTTGAACTAGTGTGAAATCTTAAAAAAATCTCATATTTCCTAATCAATCCCCATGAATTCTCCCTTTTGAAAGTTAGCAATTCCACCTTTGCTAATGCTACATTATACCCCATTCGTTAAACTTCATAGCTGCACACGCTTTCCCCCCGTATGTTTATTCTTTGGTTGGGAATTATTCCATTAGAAACTTGAATGATCCTTCCTTCTTTATTTGCTTCTTAGTTGCTTATAAATGAATTTAGTGTGATCATTAGTGTTTCCATTGTAAATTGAGTTCACTCCTCTGAGCCTACTCTGGCCATTGTTTCAGATTTCCTGTCACCCATTCTTGAGATTTTTCATGTCTATATTGCATTTGTTCTTGAAATTATTCATGTATATGTTGCATCTACTCTAGTTTCTTGCCATGTTATTCCAAGGCTTTGATGCCACTTTGTTACGGTCTTACCTTAACACAGAATGAAAAACTTGGGAAATTAAGAGAGAAGTAGAAGAAAGGGAGAAAGTTGAAGTTGCAACTGCAGAATTCTGATTTCTTGTTGCTTGGATTCTGCATTTCTTACACATTTCATTATGTACAATGGAATTCCCTCTAAAACGACGACTAATAGTCTCCTAACTAACTTCTACTACTAACGATCATGGATCACAACTTCCTAACTAATAAATCACGTGGAAATTTATAGTGGTAGTTAAGTGCTGCTCATTTTCGTTTCTGACTTTTAAAACTTGTCCAGCTACTATTCTCACACTTAACTTGCTTCCAGCAGCCTTTTCGACCCTTGATCTTCATGCACGTAACATAATCACATCCTAAGATCACTCCTAGACCATAATTACAATCTCTCTACATAGGTAATTATGTACAACTAATTGTCTATCAAACAATTTCCCTCAAGTAATTGCATATCAATCAATCTCTACAAATCAAGATATTGGGGCTAACATTATGCAATATTATAATATAATATGCAGTCATTAGGTAGATAGCTAAAGAGAGAGCATGCCTTCAACACTCAACAAGTCTCACATGCTGCAAATGCGGATCCTAATTATAAAAATTAGGGCAATAGTTCAACGTTCGACTTTAAAAGATGGTTGTCTAGACATAAAAACAAAGGTATACAAAATAAATCACTTGGAAAATGAATTACTATAACATTCCAAAAAAAGAGGTGACAAAATAATAATAACTTTCAGATCATTAGTTAAGGAGAAAACGACAGTGACTTCCATTAGTGTTAGGTCATATGTGCTAAGCAGAAAATGAGCACAAATGAAGTTAAATGATTCAATTGATCAAGTCACCAGTTAAGCAAAGTAAAGGACCCCATTCAAATGTCAATTAAGTAACTACTGTGAAAGCCAGTAAGTTTTAATGTAAGATATAATTCAAGGTTGTTAGATCGCCAGTCAAGAGATGCTACCAAAGGACGAGATGGGATTAAATCCTTCCCATCTAGTCAAATGTTGAGCACAAGGTAAAGACAGGGTAAGGTATTACAAGACCATGTTCTCCGTAAGTAGAGTGCATTTGGATGCGAACCAAAATAGATTCACTGCATGCATCACATGGCCACAAAACAACACCAGTTTTAGGTTGAGCAGTCACGAAGAAGATAAGAGATTACACTTGCGATTGGTTAAGTAATGAAATGAAATTCAATTTCATTAGATCAGTACATCCCAAAAATTATTTCACAATCACATATATGCAACAAAAGTAACAAATGCAAGTAAAAATTATGTAATTCAGGGTCAATAGGTTACTTTCAGTGCTCTTACTAAGTTCTGTCATTATCCTATCTTGTCCCCCTTTTGATTGCCAACATAACAACAGAAGTGGTGGCACATACTTGATTAGCACCGTGTTATTAAATGCATTAGCAGAAACCTAACTGGCTTGTAATTGCAATTTTGCACAATATTAAAAAAAAAAATTGAAATGCTCAATGCAATACATATCAGCAAAGGAACCAGAATATGCAAGTGCAGATATAGATACTCATGTACAAGAACTTATTGATCTGCTACACATATTAAAGCTATCAAGCGTGGTGATACTTCAAGTTGCAATATGGTCACTACTAGTCAGGCAAGAGAGGTAACCTATCAACGCTGTAGGGTGATCCATTTGTGTCATCAGTGGCACTGATAAAATCATCAACTCCACTATCTGTCCCAATTGTTTCAATAAGCTTGTTGTTTACATCCATCCTAGTCTGATATGGGAGGATACGGAGGCGTGCCTCTGGCTCTGTACCAATTCTCTCTGTTTCTAATTGGTATTTTCGAATGAAATCTATCTGAAGGGACATAATGTGTGATGACCTAGGGAGCAGCTCCACAGGTTCTCCTTTCGGAATTACTACTTGCATCACAGCTATTCTTGCCTCCTGTATGAAGAGAAGTACATTGTAGAGTTGAAATGTAATAATTTATATGAACTAGGTGTTCCAAATGATAACATGATAGAGCAAAGAAGATAGCCGATGGACATCCTAATTTATTAACTGTGATCATCATGGCCTACTGTTAGTCTCTTGGACATGATAAATTCTGTTGGAAGGCTTACAATAAATCAATCAATGCGTACAAACTTCTCCAATCATTTTCTTTTCTACTTTCTATGTTCTGTATTTCCCTGTTTCTTTATTATTTTCAACTAGACAAAAGGAAAACATAAGCACTAGACAGAAATGATACTGTTCAAGATTCAACAATGAAAATATGCAAGGCAATGTTAAACAGGAAGACTGCCCCTTCTGGAGAGGGAAAAAGAAATTTGTAAACTATATGGAATTTAGAAGAGATCTTCTAAATCAAATGCAACAGACTCAGATCTAACAGTATGCACTCTTTCTTGAAGATCATATAATAAATTGAGTACACACCATCCAAATTCCCTTTCAATCATCACTGGCCTAAAGATCAACCACCCACATTGAGAATAGACTTTGCGATAGAAACCAAAAAAAATAGATCCAAATACTATATGTCCACACACAAACACATATTAATGCATTGAATATCCATAGAGAAGCAGCTTTGTTTAATTTCAAAAATAAAAAAGTCCATTGAAATGAGCACATTCTTGCAAAAGAAAAACCAGCTTGCAGTGATCGTCTCACAACTGATCAAATTTGTTTTCCACACTAAAGCATGATTATGTTGCCAATTATCAAACAGCCATACATTTATGCTGCTCTAGAAGAAGAAAAGGAAAAGAAAACAAAAGAAAAAGGGTAGGGAGTGAAAGGAAAACCAAATCTTAGTTTAAGCTTCATAAAACCATTGGTAATAAATATAATGGAGCTGAGGTATTAAATTCTCGATTGGTTAGGTGGTAGGAGGTGCTTTTCCACCAACCACAAAATTAAAGGTGTTTGCTAACAATGCAAATGCATTTCAAAAGCCATTTAAAACTGGTTAAACTATTATTTAGAGAAACCACATATTGAAGCTTTCAAGGTTTTTGAAAGGCTTGAGTATTATTTTGCATTTAAAACCTTTTCACCTGACACATTACCAAACACCTTTTGCATCCACATTTGTAGCTACAACCATAGCTAACTGCTAATAGTTGTACCAAATGGGACCTAAGAAACAGCCACTCTTAGAATAACAACTTGATGATAGTACCACCTTAACCATGCAGTCCAGTTTATGTGAAAAGATCATATTTCAGAGAAAGAATTTATATCTTCTTATATCTCGGTCACACTACTACAAAGACTCTTGATGTTTTCCAAAATAAATAAACAAGTTGTGGGTCATTGATTCCCCAAAACAAATTACAACTATCATATACAGGAGTTTGGTTTATGGGGGTGATAGTGATATTTCTTTAGTAGTGAGAATAGTCTGCAGACAGGAATTCCTACTAGGAAAGCAGGTAACAGGCAAGGCAAGGAAAGAAGGGACAGGTAGCCATAGTACACTTTCTTAGGAAGTCATGAATGTCCTAAGGGAAATCTTCTTTCTTTCTGGCAGCCCTGTTTCCCCAACAAGAAAGTAAACTAGCATACCATCCTCAAATCAGTCCTTCCCATAGGGTTATTGGAAGAGTATTTTTTATTGTATTCTGAAAGGAATAGGGTCCACCTGAGGCTGTCAAAACCCGTTCTATAGACACTATACAGGAACCACCCCCCCCCCAATTGACAGGTTGTGTTTTTTGTCGAATTTTAACAAAATTCAAGTGTCAAACTTGTTGACTTATGAAGTCAAGATCAAGGTATTGATTCGAGGGTTTAAGCAAAATATTTCAACTTACATTTATTTTCTGAGGATTTTTAGAAACTTGCATTGTATTGCTCCTCATAGCACTACAAGTTATAGTCTTAATGACTTACACCGTTACATTGGCTTACAATAAAGTTAGGTTTGTGTTTATTTAAAATTTCAGTTAATTTCTCTAATCAACTTCTCTGCAATTGTTTAGATAATAGTTTAGATTTTCTTTTTTCTTTTTCTTTTTTTGGACCTTCAATTCTTCATTTGTATTAGGCATGTCATGTAACTTTGATGCCAACTCGTTGAATTTATAGAGATGTGTGAATTAATGAATAACAATTCACAACAGCATATGCCATGAGCATTAGCAACTCCCATGGTGGCCTGAACGCTATGGCATTGACCGAAACATAAATCATCGTTAACGCACTCCATCCACAAAATATATTAATCAATAATAAATATTTCAAAAACACAACTGAAAGTAAACTCTTACCTCCAGGGCATCTATCTTCTCTGACAATTTTGTATTCTCTTCTGTTCTAGAATCCTTCAATCCATTAGCATGACTGCTCATCAATGCCCTTATGGCCTTTGTTATTTGCTCCAAGGAACTTGTCTACCAAAAGAAAGAAAACAGGTTTCACCATATTGAAAATACATAGCTGTAGCTGAGGAAATAGATAACTATTGGTTTGATCATATAAACCTTTGTCACATAAATGGGTATGTCATGAGATTTGGCAGCAGCTTGAATCTTGGCATTTTTCTTGAGCTTAGACTGCAAGGCAAGTAGTGCATCTGCATCGCTGATGTTATCAGTTAATCGAACTGCAGCATCCATTTTCAACTGATTGATCCCTTGAATCACACTTGTCTCCAAGATCTAGAATAACTGCTCTTTATGTAAGTTCCATATCCAGTATATTCATACTATGCAGCAGTAATCAAGTGCCAAAAATTGAAAATTTAATTAACTTCAGGTGAGATACAAAGTCTAGTTCTACTTTCAAAATAAAATGTAGGATCAATTTTTTGGAAGAGAAAATTTAGATCTTGATAACTGGCTCATGCAAACTTCAGCCCAGCTTGCTCTATCATGTTTAAAGATATAAACTAGCTATCTAGTACTACAAGTGTTCAGCCCAGCTTGCTCTATCATGTTTAAACTAGCTATCTAGTACTACAAGTCACCTCGTACTGACAAATAATTAAGTAGGAATAGCCATTGTAGATATTCATCGAGCTCCAAACTATCTTGAGACTGGAGATAACTTCCTTATAAAGGACAAATGTTATTTTTAAAAGAATGGAAAGGGACATAAAAAAATAAAAAACATATGTGGTACAATTTCTAGTATCCCAAAGAAAAAAGAAAAAGAAAAAAGATAAGTTTTTGGTGAATTTCTTTAACAGTTTACTTAAAGAAAACAGAGAATGCAGAAAAGGATGAAGCATGAAAAAATTAGCTATAACATAGCCCTGCCCTCTTTTACTAATGATGTTCCGTTAAACGACTGTCAAAAATGAGCTCCAACTTATCTTGAGACTAGAGATTACTTCCTTAGCAATGACAAATGTTCTTTTTAAAAGAATGGAAAAGGATACATACATAAATACATACATACATACATACATATATATATATAAGTGGTATAATTTCTAGTATCAGAATGAAAAAAGAAAAAGAACCAAGTTTTTGGTGAATTTCTTAACATTTTACCTGAAGAAAACAGAGAATACAAAAACAGACAAAGCATGAAAAATTTAACTATAACATAGCACTGCCCTCTTTTATACAGTAGTGTTCCTTTAAACGACTGTCGATAATGTGTAGTAGAAATAAATAGAAGAGATGAGGGAGCTAGCAACACATTCAATCATAAACTTTGTAATGAGAAATAAATTGCTTATTAATGAGATTTCAATTTTATAATTTCTTTTTCTGTTTTCTTTTCTTCTTCTTTTTTATTATTATTTTTTAAAGGATGTCATTTTCCTGAAATCAGCTGGCTTTGCAAGCTTTATCTACTTGCTATGAGATGGTTTAAAGTCATCAACATACATCTCCTATCAGTCCCAAAGGAAATTCATTTCCTATCTCATTAAACATAACTTGCATATAGAAAGAAACAACCACCCGATTACAAATAGAGAACATTCACTCCAAAAAGCATGCTTACCCCATAGACATACAGGCAAAGTGGTACTTCATGTTCCAAAGAACTGTCTCCCATGTCCGGAGGAGACTCAGAAGTAAGTTTATTATGACCAATCCTTTCATCTGTCAAGTGGAGATCTTCAACCAAAACTTGATCTTTCTTTTCAGCAGATGTTTGAAAGGCAGGTTCCCTTTCTATGGTTTTTTTTACTCCCTGGGAACTCATTTTGCAAACTTCCACATGTGGGGAACGACCTTCCACAGAAACAGTGTCAACAAATAAGGCATAGAGAACAGATCAGGGGGTGAGGGCGAATTGTTAGTGGCAGAAAATCAGCACATGTCAATGGCAGATTCTTGGCAGTTATTGTGCCTGAAAATGGGGAAGTTTTCCCCCATTTTCAGCTAATAGAGAGGTTTAGAGAGAGCGAAGGGAAACAGAAAACACACTAAACATGTAGTAGAAGGAGCTGCCTTCATTGGTGGCAGAAGGAGCTGTCTTCATTGGCAGAAGCAGCTGCAGAATGGCAGCATAACAGCAGCCTCTTGTCTTTGTAGATTTCCTTCAGCAACCTACCTTCAAACTCTCCTTTGTAAATTCTTACAAAAGTTTGCCACAATTCTTGAGAATGTCTTACAGAACTAAAACATAAAATGGTAATTCTTTTGTTTACTAAATCAGAAGAAAAAAAATACCAGAGAGAATAGCATCTACTGTTGCTTCTAAACTGCGATGAACTCGCAACTCAGTCTTTGAAATTATCTCCACCCCACAGCTAAATGTTGAAGGCCCTTTCCTCTCAAGCACTGTCTTCTGGACACCCCTCCGGTTTGCTTCTTCATCCCCTAGTGTCACACTCTGTAAAACTAATTGCATTAGTATAAATGATCAGAGAGGTGTCTGTGTGCCGATATTGTTAAAATAAATAGCAGCATATAACAGAAACACAGCAAACAATGAGTAACTGAAGGAATAGAAATTCCTTGCATTGATAGAGGTGAGAAAGAACATAATAGAGATGTAGAAGAATAGGACTGCGCTGCAAGTCCATCACTACTGCTATGATTTAGAAGCAATGTGGAGAGCAGTTATTGCAAATCATGCCCAAGAACCCAAGCATTAAGCAAGAATGAATTCAAAAGAAAAATAAATAAAGGAAACAACATACAGTGAGGCATTGCAACAATATTCTCTTTGCTATTTAACTCCACACAATTATACTGCAGTACAATACTACAAGCTTACTAAACAGATACATGGGCAAGTTGATCAGCTTTTATATAATAATTTCAGTGCTACTAATTATCCGCGAGGACAATGTCACTTCTCTTGATACTATCATGGCTTTCTTTCCCTTTTTATATTTATCTTTCCTTCTCCTTTATTTATTGATATGCATCTAGTAATTAAAAGATGGATACAGAAAAGAAGGGCAGGTTTTTTTTTTTTTGAAGAAGAAAGAGATGCACACATTCTCAAAATTTCAGCATTAAAGATTCTTGATCCTTGATGAAGTAAAGAAATAATTTGTAAAATAAAGAACGGAGAAAATGAAAAACTACACCCTGCAGTGACACTTTTACACCTTGGTGGCAAGGTTATAAACTCCACCACTTCAATCCCTTGTCTTTACCTTTGTTACAGGTATCCTAATGCCCTTAATATTATTTTGACTAGGCATCTATGAGGATCTAACATTTTGACTGATATGCCATGGAGAAACACATTGATGCAATGTCAATAACACATTAACACTCTAGTGTCGCACCTTTTAAAGCAGAGAGTAAAACAAAATCTCAAGCTGAATTCAGAACTGTGTTCTGCACATGCACACATTTTCACATCTTTATTTATCATTAGGAAAAAGAGGAATCCCTTGAAAAATCTTTCATTTAGAGGAAGCAACTTGGATTGTTGAGCAACAAAACTTCTAGAAGCTGAACTTTTTAAATGAAAGAAATGTTTTATTTTTTTTTTTGTGATCGTTAAAAATCAACTGACTTCTTGAGAAATAATATGGAAGTACTTTTTTAAGAAAATATTCAATCAAAGAACAATAGACTACTATTGAAAACAAGACCAAGTAATACATCTAGATTCATTTTGGTTAAAGCTAGATTAGTTCTTTGAAAAAAAATATAAAAGACCAAACCTCCCATTCTTTTAGCCCTTTCCATCTTTGGTCCGCGTGGCACTTAATCTCTGATCTCTTGGCAGAGTGCAAGATGACTTTATCAACTAAAATAGTTGGTATCCACAAAATGTTTTACATTTTGTATCAATAGGAAGATGACACACTAGATCTGAATTTAACTCAAATCACAACAATAAATAAGAATAATCAAATCATATAATTGGAAGCTATCCTCCAATTAATTTGGCACTATCCAACTCCAGTGCGAGTGGAATTTAATCTCTAATCTCTTGACACAATGCCAGATATTAAGAGCTGGCACCCACAAAATGTTTTTACATTTTGTATTAACGGATAGGAGACGCATTTGATCTAAATTCAACTCAAATCCCAATGATAAATCTTAAAAATCAAATCATATGATTGCAAGCTGAAGACATACCTATTCAAATACAATAATTGACAAGAATAAAAAATAAAAAAATAAAAAAAAAGCCACCTTTATACTATATGTTGATGCTTTCATTTAAGGGACCAAGCACTAAATCAAATCAAAGCTGAAGACATACCTATTCAAATACAATAATTGACAAGAATAAAAAATAAAAAAAAGCCACCTTTATACCATATGTTGATGCTTTCATTTAAGGAACCGAGCACTAAATCACTAGCTGCAATTTTGTTTGGGAGCTTTTTTTGTGTGCGCGCTTGTAAACACATATCATTCATTTTATTTTTTTACTAGCTGGATTTATGTTATGGAAGAAAGTTAGGGACATTAATTCCTAAAAATCATCTATGTAAATCAGCCCTTCTGTAGGTCCAGTAATGCCCTGTAAATCAGCCCTCTAATTGCTGAAAATATATAATGGAGATCTTTAAAAGAGAAAGGACATAGATTTCTTTCAAACTTTTGTCTTATTGACATGGTATTAGAGCCACAGCTCCAAAATATGGTTCATTCTAGCAAATTTGCTTTCTAGGATCTTGGGATTTTCTTCTTGTCTTGAGCAACACTTGTTCTTCACTTTGTCTTGAAGTTTTATTATTGTCTTGGGATTTTCTTCTATTTTTCTTTTGGTCATATTGTTTTCATTTCAGACCTGGTGTTCTTAGATATATATTTTGTCTTTGTGTCCCTCACTGGTTTACTGGTTACTTTGTGACTTATTCTTGCCAGGTACATCATGTCTTTTAAAAAGTCATATTTTGTTTGTGTTTGTTTTACTCAGAAGAATTACTCTACTTGAGGGTTTCAGTCCAGTTGTTTGTCAAGGAAAATGAATTATAGGGTCATCCTAATTCAGCTTCTAAAGACAAAGACAGGTATACTAAGTAGAAAGTTCAAGATCTTCAATCATGTAGTGGATCTTATGTCTTGTTCAGCTTCGTATTATTCTTAATGAGGCCTAGAAGGTTTCAAATGGAGTGTGAGATTGCAAAATTCACACATGGAAGTCTTTATATTGAGGAATTTTTTTTCTGATTTCCCAAATCTCTGAAATAAGTATTCAGATATTGCTTATACCTGAATAAGCTAACGTCCCTACAAAAGCTTGAGATGTTGTCCAAGCTATTCATGAAACCAGTAAGAGATTAATTGTGATTTGATTTTGAAACCATTAATTCAATCTGATGAATCATGATTGTGTAACTTCATTGGATACCTGATTTAGTGAACTTCTTCAAGAGGAACAATACATCCTTATGTAAGATACCATGATCCAACAAGCTCATGCAAGTGCTCTTATTACTATGGCTTATGTTGTGCAAGGGAAGAATAAAGGTACAAGTGCTCTTATTACTATGGCTTATGTTGCGCAAGGGAAGAATAAAGGTAGATATATGAGCATTATTAAATGCTACAATTGTAAAATTTTGGTCATATTGCAACAAATTGTTCTCGGAAATTTTGTAAATATTGCAAAAAGTCAAGCCATATTATCTTCACTTCTCCACTCGGTCTTCTAAGAGACATTAAAGTGTTTTTATGCCTTGATCGGTACATCAAATTCTGCCACCATTTTTTTTTTTGCTCCATGAGTTGTTCCCATAGTCCTTGCACATCAACCCACCCTCACTCCTGAAATGATACAACAGATGATAGTTTCTGTCTTTTCTACCTTAAGACTAACAGGTAACAAAAGTTCACTTTCCAAGCCATGGTATTTTGATTTTGAAGCTTTAATCACTTGACCAACACTACCTCCCCTATTGTGAACAACTACACTAGAGAAACCATCTAGTAGGTGGCCTAGTGGTAAGAGCTTGGGATCAAAAAGTTTGCTCCCCCTATGATCTCAAGTTCGAGCCCTGTGATTGCTAATATAATGGTCACTGAAGGCTTACATCGTTATTAACTTTAGGGCCCATGAGATTGGTCGAGATGCGTGCAAGCTAACCCGGATATCCACGTTAATAAAAAAAAAAAAAACTACTTGCTCCCCCTATGATCTCAAGTTCGAGCCCTGTGATTGCTAATATAATGGTCACTGAAGGCTTACATCGTTATTAACTTTAGGGCCCATGAGATTGGTCGAGATGCGTGCAAGCTAACCCGGATATCCACGTTAATAAAAAAAAAAAAAAAAAAATTTCAGCCAACCATTTGGGACCAGGAAGTTTGCTCCCCCTATGATCTCAAGTTCGAGCCTTGTGGTTGCTAATATAATGGTCACTGGAAGCTTACATCATCATTAACTTTAGGGCCCATGAAATTGGTTGAGGTGCGTGCAAGCTAACCCGGATATCCACGTTAATAAAAAAAAAAAAAACACTATGGTAAAGATCTTAAAATTCAAAAAGTTTGT